TGGATAAGCTGTGGGCAGTGCCCCGACCTGTCATAGTCTCCATTGCATAGCGCCCGCACAGGGATGGTGAAGGGTTGCCACACGGGATTCAACGTGTTCTTCACTACCTCGGTCTTGTGGCAGATGGTGAATCTGTGTGGGAAATGACATGCCAAAGGTGAAGCTGGACACAAGGGAGGCCCAGGGCTCCTGGGATGTGGGGCTCAGGTGATGAGTGGACAGTGACCCTGATGCCCTTTGCACTCGGGTGAAAGGGAGCTTCCATCCTTGACTCCGTCCCGTGGCGATGGTAGGCAACTCACGTGCCATCCTCATTGCTCCGGTAGAAGACAAGGAAAGGATCCGACTTCCCAAAGAAATCCTTCTTGTCCAGCTTGTTGGCACAGAGCTGCATTGTGGCAATGTCCTGGGAATGGGAGACAGAGCTGGGGGAAGGGGAGCACAATTTGCCCCCAGACACCTGCCATTTTGCATCCTTTAAAGGGATGGGAGGGAACCTGGGATAACAGAGAACTAAGAAGGGCCACAGGAGGGAAGGCAAACAAAAGAAGGGAAGCAGAAGGATGAACTACTGACCCGGCAATTACTGAGCTCCTCTGCGGTCAGCAGAATGGTTCCACACTTTTTCCCGGGTACGCCCCTAGACACAGAAACGAGACATTGATGAGAATGGTCAGTGGAGGGATGTGTATGAGGATTAGAGAGAAGGCCCTGAGGAAGGGAGATGGTACCATTCTGGGAGATGATCAAATGGACCAACTCCTTTGAATTGATTCATGTTCCTCCTCAGGAGCTCCTTCCTATTGTGGGATCAGTTTCTCTGAGACGGAAGGAGCCCCATCCTTAACCCAATTCCCTTTACCACATGACGAACACGTCCTAGTCCACATTGCTTAAATACTGCCAATAATGAACAACCCACTAACTTCCCATTCAACTGGAAAGCTCCCATTGTTGAGAAATTCTTTCATAGACTGAGCCAAACCCAGCCTCCCTATAATTTCTACTCATTGGTAGTTCTGTTCTTTGTGGTCAGAATAAGAATAATCTTTTCTCCACATGACAGCCCTTAAAATGGTTGGGTCATGTCGTGGTTCCTTTAAGTCTCCCTGGATCATAGAATCTAAATTTATTGCTGGAGGGAACCTTATGGGTCATTCATTATCTAGTCCAAATCTCATATTTTACAGCAGAAGATATGGCTGAACTAAAGTGACTTGCCTAAGGTCACTCAAGTAATAAAGGGCTACGGTCTAAGAGCTTTTGTGTATTTTAATGGTCCATTGGCGATGGGATGGGGTCACCTTGGGTAGTAGGAGGGCTAGGAAGGAGGAGGTTCAAGGAAAGGAGAGGTCATTGAGGGCTTCAGCAACGTGAACAGGCTTCGTGGAATAGGTAGGGCTTGAGTTGGTCTTCAAGGAAGGGGTAGGATTTATGAAGAAAGCTAGAGCTTATTCCAGGCTGGATATGATAGCATGGACAAAAGTGAGATGATGGAAATGCTTGCCATGAGTTCAGGGGGCAAGTAGAACAGAGACTGCAGCAGAGTTTCTGTAAGGGAGCAATCTGGAAAGGTTGGTTAACAACAGGCTATAAAGAGACTAGAAAGAAAGGCTGGGAGGAGGTGTTTAGATTTTCTTTGGTGGAATCTGGACTGTGTCCTTCCTCACAAACTTCCCTCCTCAGTGGTCCACAACAGAGATGTAATAACAGAGGACCTGGGCAGAGGGCTCCTAGAGCCTGAAGATTTTACCTTTCCCACTCCATGGGGCTGGGCTTACGTGAGTGCTCGTTCCACGCGGCTGCCCTGCCCTCCAATCACTTCTCCCAGTGCTAGGAATGCCTGTCCCAAGAAATCCTGTAGAAGGGACATAAGAGTCAAGGGCAAAGTGAAGTGTGCCTGTGATCCTCAGGGCCTGAAAGGGAAATTGATCGAGGACCAGGGCCCTTCTGGAAGAGGAAGTAAATGTTAAACACTTCTACCTCCTGAAGGAAAAAGCAGGGGTTGGCAGGAGGTGGGTGCCCTGACTGCTGGTGTCCAACCAGTGCAGGTTGGGTCAGTCCCAACATCTGGGACCTTATAGCCAATCCTGAAATCACCAGGTTAGAGCTGGATGGGACCTTGGAAATAATTGAGCTCAGTATTTTCCAGACTGTTTTGTGGAACCCTGGTGCTCTGTGAGGAAAATGCAGTGCTGGAGATGTTTTCCCTCTAGTGGCACATTCTTTGTAACTTTACAGGCTTAGATAATTTCCTGGAGCAGGGACAAGTTAAGTAACTTGTCGCCTTAACAAAGCTAGTATGTGTCAGTATTTAAACCTGGGAAACACCGAGCTGCCTCGAACATGAAATATTGTCCCTAATAGGTACTACATACAGCAATTCACCAGTATGGAAATAGGCTTAATTACCTGGGTTTTGCCCCCACATCTCTGGGACACCTCCTCATAGTACCACACTCCAGGGAGGAGCATTTAGGGATTCCAGTAATATAGTGGGGGCCCACATGTGTATCCCTAGGCAAATTAATTTGGGCAGCTCTCAGGGAGTTGCCGAAACCCCACATTTTACAGATGTGGAAAAGAAGGCCAAAAGGGCACCTTGCCCAAGGACTACACCTGTTACAGGTATGTGAGCAAGGAGTGACAAAGCTCCAGGAATACCAAGGCCGGTTTTTTCTCTGGAGACTTTGGCCAAGGGTGAGAAATAGGAGCAGAAGGTTGGAAAGGGGGATCCCAGGGCAACATCTGTCTCCCATTCCCTCTGGGACCCGAGGTTCTGTTAATCCTCACCTTCTGCAGGGTCCCGGCAGCGGCAGAGGAAAAAGGAAACACTGGAAGTGAACAAGGGTAGTGAACGGGAACGTAGGGCCGACAGAGCCACCCAGTGAATGGGTTGTGCGCCTGCCCTGTCCAGCCCAGAGGAAAGAAGAGAGAACCAGCGATGGGCCAGGGTAGAGGTGGGAAGCTTGAGGAGTGACAAAGTCGGGGTGGGGAGAGAAAGGAGGAGAGCTAAGGAGGGTGGGGGGAGAGAAGAAAAGCTGGGAGTGAGGACCAGAGCTCGGAGGTGGAGTCTCGGGCTTCACTCACCGGTTTGGAGATGTTGGTTTTGGAGTCCACATTGTACCTGGGGAGAAAACCGGGGGGAACTGGGCTGATTTGGCTGGACTGATTTGGCTGGACTGATGAGAGAGATAGTCGGGGGTAGTAGTGGGAAGGCGGGGAAGAGGGCCAGCTCTAGGTGTGGATACTCACACGTCGAAGCGTAGGTTCTGTTTCTCCTCGAAGAAGTAATCCAGCACAAATTTACGTAGGAAGTCCGGGTTCAGCGTGTTGTCGATTACCTCGGTCCGTCCGAACTGGGGGTGCGTGTGTGTGAGGGGGAACCAAGGGTTAAGCCTCGATCTGTCAGTTGTATCTGGGTCCCTCCCTCGGAGTCAAGGAGTGGAGAGAAGTTCCATCACATACACCCTCATGCCCTCACACCCGCACACTCACCTCCCGCCACTCCTGGCTGGCTCTAGTTTGAGTGAACAGCACCACCACTGCGGAGACAGGCTGTTAGTTCTACCCATCCCTCCAGCTCCCCGGGATCCTCGTACCGCCCCCACCCCGGTGGGCAGAGCGCTATTAGGATAAGGGCCCCTCCACATATGGTCCTCATCCCTTTCTGACCTCCCCCTACTACCCCATTTCCCTCCATCCTGATCCTGCCCATGCCCCAATTCGGCTCCTCCTCCCACGCCCCCTCCCCATTCTGGCTCCGCCTCCTCCTGCCCCTTTGCCCCCAATCTCGGCCAGCTGCCTACTGGGGTCGGACTTGGAAAAGGTGTCGAGATCCAGCAGATTCCTGGAGAAAGCGGTATGTGGACGTGCAGACAGACAGACAAAAGAACAGACCAACAGAAGAAAGACCGACACAGACCAGTTGCGGGTCTGCTGCTCTCTCCCTCCCCCGGGACTTCCCAGAGGCGTGATGGTAGTGGTGGTGATGGGATGGAGAGGCTTGACCACGCAAAGGGTCTAGGGAGGGGCGGGATCCCAGACTCTGGGGTTTCTGGGCACCTTCACCGCCCTTTCCTCAGTACTCTGGACAGAGCTCCTGTTCCTCGGAGCCCCTCTTGCCCATACCCCAACTGTCTTGGAGCCTACCTTGGGGATTTGGGAAAGACGGTTCTGTACAACAGGGATCAGAGACGGGGTCTACAACTTTCTCTTCCCCATCCTTTCTTGGTTCCTTCCACCACCCCCAATCCGTGCCCTCGCCCCAAATACATAGCTCAGGGCCTCCCACTTTAGTTCCCTCCCAGAGGCTCTGTATTCACTTCGAGACCCTATTCCTGAGATTCCCCAGGGGCTGGGGCGGTGGGGGTGGGGGGAGGGCAGGAGCTTGAACCCGAGATCCGGGGAGGCAGAGAGGCAACGCCAGAGGTACTGGGAACTCGGCCAACTGCTTCATGATCCCCACTCCCTTTCCTGTCTCTCTCCCCCCCCCCCTCCCCCCCCCCCGCCCCCCCCCCCCCCCCCATAGCTAGGCTTTCCCCCCCGCCCCCCCCTTCTCTTTTGCCTCCCGCTCAGGCCCTACCTTTCTGCTCCTTCTCCTACCTCTATCTACTCTTCCTCTTCCCTAACCCTACCTGGTTGTCTCCCCCAGCCTTTGACTGGCGACCTCAGTTCCTTCCCCCCATCTTTACCTCTCCTCTCCCTTCCATCCTCTACTCCGTTCCTTTCCCTTCAAGCCTCGTCCACCCCCATCTTTCCTCCCAGCCACTCCTCCCTCTGCTCCCCTTCCTGCCCACAACCCTAATCCCCTTACTTTTTTCGACCTAGCCCCTTCCCCTGGCTTTTTCTTCTCGGTCTCAGTCCCTACCCTTGTCTTGGGCTTCTCTATTCTCTCCGCCCCAGCCAGCTCCGTTCTGCCTCCCAGTTGCGGCTCGGAAAGGGACTCACCCCCCACCATGGAACCTCACACAGCCGCCCTGCCCCGCCTGCCCGCCCACCCACCCGCGACAGGCGTTTGGGCCCCCAGCTCACCGGCAAGAGACGGTGATTTCGATCTTGGTGGCCGGGACGCTGCGGTCTGAGGTTCCAGTAAACGACATGGCTTGGAGCTGGGGGAAGGAGGTGGACAGATAGCTCCCGTGGGCTCTGGGTGACCCCCGCTGCGGGCCTAGAAGGTCCCGTGGGCCAGAGCCATGTGCAGGGGCAGCGCGGAGGCGGCTACCCCTGCGCTCACTCCAGCCAGCCCCGGCATGCGCTCCCGCCCGCGCTGCTGCTGCGCCCGCTCCCGCGCCCAGACTGTGCCTGTGGAAGCCACTGCGGTCTCCAGATGGCAGTACAGGCCCCGCCCGGCCCCGCGGCAGGCAGCCCTGAGCCCCGTTGGAGTACAGCGGCACCCCCCCACCCCGCCCCAGCCGAGGACACACGTAGGGGCGCCTAGAAGAGCGCTGGAAACACCCTCTTCCCCAGGGAGCAGCAGCAGGCTGCTCTCCCTGGGGGCCAGAACTTTAATCAATTTTCTAGCACAGCCCTCGCCCTATCCAGCAGTCCAAGCCCTTGCGGAGGTCAGGCACTTGGCCGATTCCCTCTAGCTCTTTTTTTGGGGGCGGGGGGGTTTGCTAGGGTCCAAGAGGCAACTTGATATCCCGCCCCACCTCTTCCTCCTTCCCCAGTAGCAGAGCAGAGCCGTCCCAGACGCTGTCTCTGGTGCTGAACGGTACGGACATTCATTGGGCAGCAGCAAGTCTGGGTTTTCTTCGGTGATCTTGGCGTCTCTGGGGAATTCCTGCACTGCTGGAGCTGGAGAGACCTTAAGCAGCTTCTCCCAACCTCCTTACAGATGAGGAAACCGGCACAGGTTTAGTGGACTTGCCAAAAGCCACACTCCTAATTGGTAACAGATACTTCACAAGCCCCTCGGGTCCCAGGCCAGGCCTCTGCTTCCTTCCCAGACATTGTGGAGTTGTAACCTAGCTGCTCCTCCTCCCAGTTCCCAAAGGCAGGCAGCAGCAAACTCAGGCAGTGTCCTATCTCCCCTGATTTTAAGGAGTTGGCATCGTGATCCTGGAATCCCAGAAGGTCCAGGCCTGCCTGCCCACCCAACACACACTCTCTAGATGAGGACGACAGGCTGTGAAAGCTGAAAGGAATCTCAGCAATCGAGGTCAGCGTTTTTGTTTCGCCTGAGAGGATACGGGGCCCAGAGGGAAGTCACTTGCCCGAGTGGCAGCCAATGACCTCTCCTGCTGCACCTCAATAGGAAGAAGAGCTCTCCTCTGGCCAAGTCCAAATGTTACATTCAAACTGAACTCAAAGCTAAGGCTGAGGCAGCTGGGGATCTCCACGCCAGCCAGTGGTTAATCTAGGATGGAAAGGGAAGGATGAGCAGGGACTACTGCCAAACAGGACCATGAACAAGAACAAGGTGAGGGGAAAAACCCTTGGTTCCAACATTTTTATTTGTGTCACAACCATTTTCTTCTTAGTGCAGATGACTTCTCCCCTCCCCCCCCCCTCCCCCCTCCCCCCCAGCAATAAAAACCAAGGGACTCTTCCAAGAAATGCTGCCTTTGCAGGGCTTCTGGGGCACTGCAGCTTCCAGTGGTGAAGGGATCAGTTGGGCTGAGACTGGACAGGAGGTGTGTTGGGCGGCAGGGGCATGTAGGCTTTGCAGACAGGGCTAAGGAAGACCAAAAATGGGAAGAGATGCTCATAGTTACAGTCAGAAGTTTACAGTTTTGCAGAGATAGCCCACAGCTTGGGCACATTCCTGTGGGCTGCCAAGTGGTGGCAAGAGATTCCCTAAGAGAGGATCTGGGGGGAAATCCCACTACTCCAGGGCTCCCATGGCTTTGATTCCTCCAGTGGCTCAGCTGGGGAAGAGAAGGAGGTGGAACAGGAGGCTGTATGAGCCTGCAATGTTTCACAGAGTGCTGCTGGATACTCTGAGTCCTACTCCTCGTGCAAACTGCTCAAGAAGGCCCCCAATGGCCCCTGAGGGGCTGGGTGTCACTGACTTGAGTCCCACTGTGCTGCTGTAGGTAGCCAGGAAGGTTGAACGGACTTCTTCCAGCCTGGATTCTCGTTCAGTTGGTGCAGGAAACCTGCAGGGGAGTGAGGAGACAAAGAGTTGGGAAATATACTCGGCCAGTCACACTTGGGGATCCATGTGATCAGGAAAAATGTTTCTTCCTGTCTACCAGTGCCCCCTAAACAAGCATTCATATCCACCTACTTCAGTGCCACCCCCACTACCCAACCTTTCAGCAGAAGTGGGACATGAGCTACTTTAGGTGGCTTCTTTTCCATATCTTGAGGGGGAAGGAAAAAAAGGCTTTGCTACAAAGTCTCTCACTGTCATCCCAGATCTGCACTAACAAAAACTAGGGACAAATGGCCTAGGTCATAATCCTTTTTCAGCCTTGCATTGCAATGACCCTGGGCTTCAATTGTTTCTCCTTTAGGGGATGTTATTTATTCAGGGAAAGACTACTTCTTACCTCTTGGTCAACAAACAATACAAATATCAGGCATCAGGCAGGACCTCAACCAATGGGAGAAACCAGAATTTCCCCCAAACCTAGGTCCAAAGGCCCCTGGGATAACCTTTTGTTTTGAGTCATTTGGGGCCATTACCTATTCTCTTCACCACAGCAGGGACTGAGTCAGCTGTGGGTACTGACTGAGCATTTACAGTATGAGGATCTCACTTGCAGACCCGAGGGCTGCTCCTGACAGTTTTCCAAGCCCTCTTCGTCTAGAAAGAGGCAATTCAACACCATACTTTTAGCATTTTGACCTTTCTCTACAAAACTGGTTTTCCAATTCAGTGCACAAGTCATTTCTAGCTCAGACAGTGGGGCTTATATCCTCAAACTATAGTTATTCCATAGCTAGAGGAATTCATTACTTTTGGGGACAGGGTGATGGGGGAAGAAGGGGAAGAGGTGGGGCAGGAACAGAGTTTATATCCCTGCTTGCCTAGGACTATTTTTCACCTCTCAGATTTAAGGCTCACACACTGCACCATCAACAACTCCCTTTCCTGCCTAAGGAAGGCAGAGACCAAATTGCTTAAGATCAGACCTGCCTCTTAAACGCTCTCCTGCCCTTGTGTCTGGCCTTGGATGAGGAAAAACAGACCATCTTTAGCTACCAATGATTGGGATCAGAGATAAGGCAGCAGAAATCCAGAGGCTGCCTTTTCATGGGGCCACTGCCGTTATGTGGTTGATGGATTAAGTACGGGACACAAGTCTGCTGGTACAAAGGTCGAGGAGAATGACAGGCTGGAGGGATGGATGGCAGCTTAAAAAAAACCCAAAACATCTTCTGCCACCTTTGTGTCTAGGCTCTCTTGTGACAGCATCAAGTCAGGCCCCGAAGTCTCCTTCCTACACTGCCCTCAGAGGAAGGAATACAGCTTCCTTGCTGTTAATGAAAAAGCAACCAGCTCTTCCTTCGTCACCACATTCCCAATTCAAGAGGGTAAAACACGCATCCAGAATTCAGACTTCTACAAAGAGCAAGCTTTGTATGGAAATTTCATTTTACGTCAGCTTGTGATATGCAAACTCCATCCTCAGGCACCATCTCACTGGGGACATGAAAATTTCATCACAATAATACCAAGCTTTTCAAGTCCCTTCTAAGAAGAAATAAGGGAATTAGGAACAACACACTATGCCCTGGCAAACAGAATACCCAAGACAAAAGACTATCAGCAGTCACATGATATGTCCTAGCTTAGATATAAAATGAAACTCTCCAGCTAGGAGAGTGCCCACCCTATAAGATGGCAGGTAGATCATGTTTCCAATGCCAAGTTTCCCTTCAGGGACCCCTGAACCATAAGGAAAAGATATTTGAGATGGGCACTAAAGTGAGGGAGGAAAAAAGAAGAGGCCCAGGTTACGAGAAGAAAAAAAGTCTCTACTGCTCAGCACTTATAGTTACACTTAAAGAAGAGAACTTGGATAAATTAAGACAATCTAAAAGGCACTTTTCCCCTCCAGTGGATGGCTACTTTGGAATCGAAACTTGCCTATAGAAATGCCTTTCTAATGACCAGAAAGTTTCACTTAGGGCACATTAATTGCAAGATACTTAGCACAGTATTGAAAAGGTAGAAAATGGTTACTCCCAATTACATGGCAATTCAAAAAGTGCACACACATATATTATTTTTATCCTCTTCCTGTATGACAAGGATGGAATGACTATTCTTGTTCCACTGAATTGTTTTTGCCTAAATATACACAGCAGGTCAACGATAAAGCTGGCATGAGAGCCTCTTCAAAGGCAGGGTAAAACAGATCAGGCCGGAGTCATTACACAGTATCCATTTTGATTCATTACAGAAATCTCATGGGCATTGAACATTATCATGAGATGTCCCATTTCATTTAAGCCTCAAGGCCTACTGGCTCTCCAATCAGAAATAGAGCCTGAGGATGGCGAAAACAAGCTATCTATTGACAATTTACTGAAGGCAAACATGGGAGGAAAACTAGGAGGCTCAGTACTGCTAAGTATTCTCTTCCATCTAGAAACTGAATGGGGCAAAGAAAATTTTATATAACTTTCTCAGGAAACCTCAGAAACAGCTCTATTCTAGCTGAGTAAACAAGATAATCCTTTTAAAAGGCATAAGCAAGGGGCATGTAGGTGGTGCAGTGGATAGAGCACCCGCCCTGGAGTCGGGAGGATCCGAGTTCAAATATGCCCTCGGACACATAACACCCACTAGCTGGGTGACTCTGGGAGAGTCACTTAACACCAACTGCCTCACCAAAAAAAAAAAAAAAAAAAAAAAAAAAAAAAAAAAAAAAAGCTTAAGCAGATTGATAACTGTTTTTTTTTTTTTTTTTAAAGACTAGAGCCCCAGATCTCATCAGAGTTACATAGGTGCCTTCTGTTACTTCCAAAGATTTCCCCCCTTTTAAGGCTGCTGACTTGTAGGTGGCTCTTTCCTGTTCAACAGCTGCAAGATTCTACTAAAGAAAGGGAAAAAGCTTCGAAGGACTTGGGAAAGAACTCACCTATTAAAGGCATAGAAGAAATGCAAAGAAGCTATTTGCCACGTTCATCCTTTTGTAATTTCCAAGTGCTGACCCTCCTTCCAGGGAGATTCTATGTCCATGCAGCTGTGGGACAGCCCCAAACATCCACTTCCTTTTGCTTCTCAAAACAACCTGACTCAGCCCTTTTTAAAAGACATCCAGTATGAGCTACCAAACTAGGGCAAGGGGCAAACTCTAAGTGACCACAATTTTACTAGTCATATGTTTTGGTAGTGAGGAATTCTTTCTCTGCTGACATTTCTATTCAGCAGTATCTGAGCAGCCCCTGCTCCACACACCAGGGGAGGTGCTCCTCTCCCCGAGAGATGTAGAGGGAGAAAAAGAAGGAAACAAGAATGCTTATGTTTGGGGGCGGGGAATGAGACAATGCTGGCTACAAAGGCAGACATCTAGAGGCTCTCTGATCCCTCCTTAGACTGATACATTGGCAAGAACATTCTTTCCAAGGTCATGGCCAAGCCTTCCCCATGGAGGAATTTAACCTTACATAGGACACTATGATTAAGCAGTTGACCATTCCTTTGAAGGGCAAAGGGATATGACCGGATGGGTGAGTGGCCAAACTGGAGATGGGAAGGGCAACTAAGAGATCATGCTTGCCTTTCTAGCTTCCCCAAATAGCAAGACAATCTCTTCTACAAGAGTCCTCCTGAGCCCTCAGAGGCTTGAGGACAGGTTCATAATAGCTCCACAGCCTTAAGAAAAAGCTCCAAATCAAAAGCAACAGCCTTAGTGTCAGAGGGGTTTTCACTCTGAGCTGAAGGGCCAATGATAAGAGCCACTAGCTATGCTCCCAGTTAATGAGAAGGCGTGCTGCTGCTGGGCAGTCTTCCATCCTACCTAGGCTTCCAAAATCCAGGAACTATAAGGAGCTGTGAAACATCAGACCCTTTAAACTAGGTGACCTATGTTCTAGATAACAGAACCAGTGCGTTTCTTGGACTGTCTTCTGCAAAGATGGATTCAAAGGCAAAATTAATCTAATTGCAAGTTAGGATAAAAACATCTAGCCCAAGCTCCAAATTAGCTTCCTCTCATGTCTGGCCTAAGCCACATGCTTGCCTTCGCTCTCCCACATTCCTTTCCTTCAAAAGATTCTATCATGCAAAGGCTTGAACAGAAATAGAACTCTCTATAGTTGTAGCCTACAGAAATTTCCCTTAGGGAACACCCCCACTGAGAAGGCTGCTGATAGGCTTCAGAAGCTGGGACGGGGAATTTAACATTACACTAAAACACTTTCCAGGCAGGTACCAAAGAAGAGTCACGAACAGAACACGCTTCACTCAGAAGCAGGTAAGATTCAGGTAATCTCTGAATCCCCAGATAAATCAGTTCTTTCTACACACTTTCTACACATACTAGCT